AGTTCATGTCAGTGAATCCTTTCTTTCCCCCTCAACCCTATTAGCTGCCGCAGCTGCATCCGTTATTCTCACGATTCGAGGATATTGCCTCTGCCACACGCTGTTTCACCTCACATCATGCGTAGTTTTCCGTAGCTGTTCACCTGCCTCCCTGTGCATAGGAGGGGGATTTCGAATTTCGGTCAAAACAGGGTGAGGGGCGGTGGAAGAATGTTTTCGGAGAGCTCTTGAATACCGCTCAAGGCAAATTCAGCCCCCTACAATGTAAAAACCGAGGTAAACACTATTGTGGCAACTACTATGTCATGTGACATATGGGTTTCGGTCACACCAAGTGATGCATCATCACACCCGTACGAAAAAGTTTAGTCCGGCATCAGTGCGTTTTCGGTCCGGAAAGAGTCCGCACCCCTGTGGACCAGTCCGCGTTCGATCCGTCGTGCACCGGACTAGTCCGCTTTTAGTACTGCCGGGCGTGCGGACTAGTCCGCTTTGAGGTCGCAGCGGCCGAGTGCGATGCCGGACCAGTACGCAGACAGTCCGTCCTCGGCGGACCAGTCCGCGGACAGTCCGCCCTCACCGGACTAGGTCGCTTTCAGTCCGCCCCATGACGGACTAGGTCGCTATCAGTCCTCCAACGGCGGACTACTGGCGGACCAGTCCGTCCTGAGTACCTACCGCAGCGGACCAGGTCGTTTTCAGTCCGCCCGGGAGCAGAGCACAGCACTGTTAAAAAGAAAGAATTGTCCGGAGCGAATCCCGATACAAGTTTACCATGCTGTAACTTTGGAAGTTATGGGAATTTTGACCTCAAATTTTATTTGGGACATCTACACCCTATTTTAGTAGGGCCATTTTAATTTCATTGAAATCGAAGCAAATTTTTCTGCTAACTCGTAAACGGCTTGAGCTAGGTCAAAACAGACAGCGGATTTGGCTTCGCCTCGTAACACTCTAAAACCACTGTTCGATTTACCCGGCTGACCTGATATTTTACTTTATTTAGCGAGAATAAACATTAAACTGTGCACTTTTCCCAATCAATTTTGGCACGGTAGTGTTCAGCTGTGCTTCAGGTAGTCCGCTTTCAGTCTGCTCTACGTGCGGACCAGTCCGCGATCAGTCCGGTGAGGCGGGGATGCGCACCAAAAGCGGACTAGTTCCAGCCGGACTAGTCCGGCAAATAGGTCGGTTTTTGGTCGATCTGGCCTTTTTCGCGGACTAGTCCGCTCGCTTTTGCGGACTGATGACGGACTGTCCAGCCGGACTCTTTGCGGACCGAAAACGGACTGATGCCGGACTAAACTTTTTCGTACGGGCAGCTAACAGGTATGGGCGTAACACATTGGAGGTCACGTCAAAACGAGCCCCAAAATATGGTGAGCCACACATGCGACATACCCAGGATGCCACACCACTTGTGATGTCGTGTGACACGTATGTCACATTTGTTTTTCCCGTGTAGGAGTGTGCCTCAGGGAGCGCCTGGTGGGTAGGCAACGCAGACCACCGCGGTGCCGCGCGTTCTCGGCAGCGGCCTACCTGCCAGGCGCCATCATGCGGTGGAGTCGGACAAACAGTCAGTGCTGCCCATTATTGAAAGAGGAGAAAGGAATCTTAAAGTGTCCTATTACTGGCAAGAGTCTACCATTAAATTTTCGGCGCTCTTTGATGAAAAGTTAGACCCTCTTAAATTAATGAGCAGGTGCTTCGGCAGGTGCGCATGTGAGGGAGCGGCAGTAAAGGGCTCCGCACGGAGGTGCTATCGAGCAGCACTCCACCCGAACATTTGATATTTTCCCCCCCCAGGGTTGGCCCAAGGCACAACATGAAATTTCATTCCGTCTTAGTCATTCATCTTTTTTTTGGAATGTGAAAAATACAATGTCTGGCTATAACAAACACTGATGGAGCCTCTATGCCTGGTTGGCCGTCCTGCCTGGCACCCTCAGCAGCTGTCGGCGTGGGCGTTGCGGTGGAGGTGGGCGTACCCTCCCCTGTACACAGAAGGCGCTCTCTCAAACCCAGCCTAAACGGGATAAGGGCCTTTCGATTCCCCCCTCCCCTCCCCCTCTTTCTCTCGCTGCCCCCTCCTCGCCAAGAGGCTGCCGCTGGCGCCGGCGTGTCTGAACCTCGAGGGATGGGCGCTAGCTCCCTCCCGGGCCCGGCCAGCCCAGTGGGCACGCAAGGGACGCAGCGCGAGCAGCCAGAGCCACCAGGACGCGTGCAACCCTCCATGGACAGGTGAGCCCGCGTGGAGTAAGCAGTGTCCTCTATGGCCATCATATCTCTAGCTCAAGTTCTCCTTGGATTTGACACATAAAAATACCTATATAAAAATAAAGCATCGGGGGGAAAATGTGTACAAAATTGTGCATGATGATTGCGATACGCATAAATCTAATATGCACAGAGATCACTGCATCCGACATGCACTCTAAATGGGGAGGGACAATTTTTGTACCTTAGTTAGATGTGTCTTTGAGCACATCTTCATCAGATACAAATTTGTCTGTACAGAGGTACAAAGTGTACCTAGGCTAGGTACAAATGTTATATTTTGTATGTGACTTGGATGCAAATTTGCATTTGGTTTAGATTTGCTCAAAGACACATCCAGCCTACGTACAAAAATTGTCCCTCGCCATTTAGTGTGTGTTTGAACAAGTCTATTCCCAGTGTGTGTAGGAGCACACTAGTGTCGGGCATGCCCACCCGGCACGCCGGCGCCTGCCAGGGCCATCCCGGGCAGAGCAGAGTGGTCGATGTTCGCTGTTGAGCTCCCCCCCCCCTCCCCAGCTCCCGTTCGTCCGGTTCCCTTATCCCCGGTTCTTCCTTACTCCATGGATAACCATCGACTTAAATTTTGACAGAAACAGTCTTATTTGAACTTCTGCAGGAAGTCTTCAGCAAGCGTAACCCCCCCTCCCCCTCCTCAAATCGGTCGAAACCGTAAGCAGCACCCCGTTCCCACACAAAAAATAGACGTATATTCATCTAATAGACGTCTTTTCATAGATCATTAACGGTCTACTAGACGTCTCTTGCGGTCTATCGATAGACCATCTGCTATGATTTGTATAATGTCCTAATTTGCGACGTATAATATACGTATTTGTGTATACTTCTACTAGATGTCTATCTAAAGATCTAATAAAAGACTGAGAAACAGAGGAATTCTGGGGAGTCGAACCTACGACCTTCCAGTTGGTTGCCTGACACTCTATCCACTGAGCCAAGCGCAAGCGCCCAACTGGAGGAGAGGCCTGCCAGGACGGCATATCTATCTGAGAAGGGTCTACCTGCTGTCTAAATCGACGCGTCCGTGCAACAATATCCTATCTGTTTCGCTGCCCCGAAAGACTAGCCTATCTGTTTCGCTGCCTCGAAAGACTAGCCTATCTGTTTTTCGGCGCTCTCTGCAGCGCTGTCTTCTTTTCATTGTGGGTTTGCTAATATTAACGGTAGAAAAATAATAAAAATTGCCATTTGTACCTTGATCTTCAAGGAACACGCAGCAGTGCTCACTTTTTTCCTATTGTTAAGATTGGCAAACTGACAATAAAAAGAAGACAGCGATGCAGAAAGCGCCGAAAAACAGATAGGCTAGCCTTTCGGGGCAGCGAAACAGATAGGCTAGTCTTTTGGGGCAGCGAAACAGATAGGATATTGTTGCACGGACGCGTCGAAATAAGGTCTACTGTCTATAGACGTCTAACACCACGTCGAGGCCTAGACTAGACAAGGTAGACCATAAATAGACAATCTATAGAGGTCTATCAAGAATCCATTAGTAGACGTCTTTTCATAGACAAACGTTAGACCATCTATAGACGTATTCATTGAGTCTACTGTTAGATATAGATTAACTAGACCAAACCTAGACCATCTACTGACCGCTATCATGCAGCTATAGACGTCTATAGATATGTTAAGATCAACGTTAGACGTCTAGCTCCATCTATAGACGTCTATTTTTTGTGTGGGATCATGCCGTCGAACACATTTTTAATTTTTGACGGCTCACAGTAAACGAAAACAGCCTTTCCGTAAACTGTAGGATAGAGGACAGTATTTCACACTTTAAAACTACTGCTAATGCTTTGGAAATATTTTGTTATTATTGTTTTAAATTGGTCCGCTAACAGTTTGAATGCTGCTCATTCGGCTGCACGTGATTCTAGAAATGACGCAGCGCTGGAGGCGGGTGGCCGGCCTGCTGGCGCACCATCTCCTTCCGACAGGTCGTCGGCCTTCCCCAAGAAGATGGCCTGGCTACTGCCCGTCGTGGAGCAGGGCTGCTGCTGCGACCTGCGCACCTGTTGCCAGGTGCAGGCCTCACTGGCACTGGTGAGTTTGCTCATGCCCTTCTCTCGAGCACCTCAATACGCCCATGCAGTTGCTCTCATGTGCTGCCATTCTCTTCCAGGTGGTGACCGGGATTAATGCGCTGAAAGTTATGCTGAAAGATTTATCATCAGAGAAAGATGAATTGGAGGAAATCTGCAGTGACACGGTAAATCTGAGTAAATTCCATAGTAACGCTATTTCAATGATTACTATGTCGTGTTCTTCTGACGGTACGTGATGCGGATATGGAATTGTGGGCATTGTGGGAACTGGACTGACGAGACGACAACGTGTAGTTCCGATAAGAGAGATTGTACCATTTTAGGGCATCTTTTCCTATTTTTCGCATCTCTCAATTAGGCACTTAAAGAAATTAATATAAAACAAGCTAAACGTAAAATAAAAATCTTACGATTGTAGATAACTACTAACTCCGTTTTGTTGTAGGGTCGCTGCTTCACATTCCTCAGACGCGACGTTCTGACCCTCATCTCGCTGGCGTGCAACGTGACCATGGCTGTGGCCGCTGCCCTCTTCCTCAAGGGCATTAGTGAGGTGAAGCTGTGCGCAGTCTGGTCGGCTAATCAATATTGACACTATATCATCCCTTCCAGTCTAATGTAGAAAATCTGGGCCCATTTATGCAGAACAAGCCCGTCCTGATGGTGCACTACATTCGCATGTGGGTCGTTTTTGCATTCTTCTGCCTATTGGCTACAGTCGCAGGACTGTGCGCCCTCGTGGATGTGGCTATAAGTGGAGCAGGAATGGGCTTCATGATCTTCGTAGCAGCCCTCTCCTGCGGTAATTGCAGTAATAGTATAATATTCGCACTTTGGCACTAGACAGATGTTTGCGGGTGTTTGTGCTTGCTTTGTTTGAACACGCTACTTCTCTTCCCCAACCAGCACTGTCCCTGTACTGCCTGATCTGCGCTAACAGTCTGCACGTCAAGATGGCCCAGGACTTGGAAGCGCATGCTGTTGGCCCTGCCTCGGTCAAACGATACGGAGCTACAGAAGAGGATCCACTCAATGGAGCAGTGCGTCTCGACGAATTTTCATTCGAGTAGTGCCGTTGCTGGCACGATGTTGAGCGGGACGCGATAACGCGAAACTTTGATTGTTGATCGACACACCCTGTTGCTTTGGTGTTTTTAGACATTACGAATTACAAATCTGACTACATGAGGGTAACACAGATGTAAATGCAGCAATATAAGGAAGGCAAGCCTGGAATAAATAATCGTCATATTTAATTGTAGTAGACAAAATAATTATGTTGCATATACACTGGAAATGCAAGTGTGTGAATGTCGCTCACCTACAGGTGAGCGACATTCCATTCGTACACTTAGGGGGGTAAAGGTGTGAATTTTTCCTAGAAAATTCACACGTTTACCCCCCTAAGTGTACGAATGGAATGTCGCTCACCTGTAGGTGAGCGACATTCACACACTTGCATTTTCAGTGTAGTTCCTCGGTAACATGAGGGAATGTATAATGTGTACGTACAGAAATGCTCTCCAAATCAAACTGTGTAACAAGATGACTGTTTCAACTGCCAAACTAAAGTCTTGTAGTTTAAACTGCGAATCTGAACAGTTTTTAAAGTTTAAACTGCCTATAAAGATTTCAGTTTTACTCTGGACTTGTGACTTTCTACAAGGAAACATATTTTTCCACGCCGGAAGAAAAATCTTGATTCTAGATTTTATTTTCCTGGGATGTATTTAGTCTGGAAAGTTAGTTCTGTTAAATTTTATTTCTATAGATGGTTTTTCCTAGCTGGAGTTTTTAAAAATACCACCAGCCCATAATGTGGTTAACGTGACCAAAATGTCGGATTTCGGTAGTGGTCAATTTGAACCCTGTCTCGTGGTTGTTCGTTTGAAAGCTTTTTTCACGATAAAACTATGTACCCACCATCCAAAGTTATCCGTCTGAATCAAAATGCAGGCCAAGAACCTTTTCAGAGCAACCGTGAGCATACCATGAACTCTGATGGGGGTTTTTAGTGGGTGGCCGTCGGTGGCCGCCGTTTTTAAACCAACCACCAACTTCAAACTTAGGAAAACGAAGAAAGCCCCTCTGAGGTAGGGCGGCCCGCCGCACTCAGCTGTCGGCGCGGCGTGGGTGGCCTACCCCGCCGATGACAGGGGCGCTCGGTCCAGACCAGCCGGGCCGGAGGCAGACGCTGCGCCGGCGCTGAGCGCTGGCGACATCCCCCCCCCCCTCTCTCTCTCTCTCTCTCTCTCTCTCTCTCTCTCTCTCTCTCTCTCTCTCTCTCTCAGCTCCAAGTCTTCCCCCCTGCTGCCTCCTCCCCTCGCGGGCGGCGCCGACGTGTCTGGACCTCGAGGGAGGCGCAACGGCGCAGCCCCTCCCTCGGCGGCTTCTTCTGCGGGGCCCGGGGCAGCCAGTGAGCACGCACTGGACGCGGCGCGAGCACGAGCAGCCGACGCACCGCGAGCCAGCGCGGGGGAGGCGAGCAAAGATAGCCAGCCCGCACGCCATAATGAACAGGTGAGCATTGCCAGCCCCCGAGCCCAGGATGTCTTCATGGGAAACCTGCCTCGCTGACCCCGGCCCACAGTATAGAACTCGTAGCTACAGTAGCAGCGGGTGACGGCTCCCATGGCACCACCCGAAAAAAATGTTTATTGAATCAAGAATAATTTCTCGGATTATCTGCAAATTGCATTGGGCACTGTAAATACAGGAGTTACGCACGTCGCTCACAAAAGAGCGACGCAATCGGACGCAGTGCATGCACTCCGATTATCGGTGTGTTCGATTGGAACTGGAACACTACCAATGCTTCTAATTTCGTCACTCTTCTGAGATCCAGGGAATGGATGGACAATCCAGCCCCCAACCCCTCCCCCTTCAGGGTTGGGAGCTGCGA